CATCTTCAGAGCAGTAGCAGTAGCTACTGCTCTCCGCAGCTATTCAACTGCTCTGAAGATGGAGGCGCTACGTTCCTCCGAAACGTCGGCCAAAACGAAGAATACACGGTGCCTAAACCCAGAAGACAACTTTCTTAAAAAAAAATTAGATGAAATAAAATGATAATTGAAAATGTATATGTTTAAAATTACATTCAATAATCCGAGAAGGGGAGGAGAACCAACTCCGCTCACACAATGTGCATCATCACAAACATTTAGAAAGTTACTGAATTTGTCAGGTAAATTAAAATGTACAAAACTTCAGCGTGAAGGCTGGACCCGCGAAAGAAGTGTTTCTGTGACGGCTGAAACTTTGGCTTCTGACGATGTTAGTTATTGTTTAGTGTTAGTTATGAAGCTGTTATCGTAGTATGTCATAATAAATTGTTTCGTGATGACATATTGAACTTGAACGAGATGAAGCTGCAACAGATATTTATATGTCTGAAGATATATGATTAACACTACCGAACGGATTGTCATAGTGGTAACGCTCTTGACGCGTATCTAGGAGGTGATCTGTTCGAATTTCGACCAGGACATCGGCTATTCTGATTTAGGTTTTCGCAGTTTTCCCGTAGTTCCTCCAGGAAAATGCCGGCATAGTACATAGATCGTAACCATCCAAATAAACGTTCTTGTCATTCATCCATTGGACACTGTACAGTCTAGCTACTGATAACGTCTCTAAATAATACATAAATAAATGAACTGATCGATGTTGGTGTTGACGTGAGAAGCGAGTCAGTTTTTGCACCGTAACCGTCAGTCTGTGGGCCCTTAAACGAAATGAACATTAATAATCTACTGAGAATTTTAACTAAAATTACATGCCACTGGTTTATGTTCTATAGGGTAAACAGTCTTCCCATCACATTACAACCTAATTACCTGTATTCTTGCGTCTGTGCATGGCTACTGATGGCTGTTAAATAATTAATATTTTTAATCTGTAAATCGTTTTTCGTAAATCTTTTAGTTTTCCATCTAATTGGCAACAAAAATAAAGGAAAAGCTGTCCCTGTAACAGGCCTTGAATGCTCATAGGGTTGTGAGACGTCGAAGCTCCCACATTTTCTACACAGTCAACTCACAGATGGCAGGTAGGTTGTTAGCCTTTTGCGCCGACTACCTTTACCCCCCAGGAAGATTACCGGTACTCATTCCTGTTAGAGGCTGAGCCGACCCCAGGGCCGTAATGCTGTTGGAATTATTAGGTCAATTGAAAAATCCAATGATTTCAACTTGAATCAAACACGCGACCTTCCGGCTTGTGTCATAGCACCTCCACCAAATACGCTACGGCATGCTGCCGGGAAATATAAATAAAATAAAATATTAAACAAATTGGAAAGGTAAAATTGTAACTAAGAAAAGTATGGTTACTGAATATGTCATACGAATTCTCAAGTAGTTAAACAATTAACATACAGTGGTAATTTCATGTACCACCTGCTTTAATATTAAATATTTATTATCCACAGAATGTCGTCTGTTAGACTGGAATTCGTTTTTTTAAATATTTAGATAAAAGTCATGCTTCGCGGTGTAAAATATAGATATAAAGTTACTTATACCGATACAGGCGACCGAAGTTTCTAAATTTAAATATAATACTTGTGTCTTGTTTCTTTAAGAGAAAACATAACTGATGTGACGCGTATGGTCAATATTATTCGCAGCAGCCTTGCTGTACCTTGGTGTATCCCTTCTTCTTGTATTTGTCGTGTTCCTTGTGCTTCGATCCATGTCCCCCTTGTTCGTGTTCGTGATGCTTCGCTCCGTGTGAATCCTCATCGTGGTGAGATGTATGTTTTCCCCCTTTCTCCTCTGTTTCCTTGACGTGTTTCTCCTTGTCTGTTTCACCTTTCCGTCCAGAGTAATGGTCGTGGACCGATTTATGACCCTCGCTGCTCTTATGTCCTTTGATTTCCTTGTGACTTCCATGTGCTTTGTGACCTCCTCCGTCCTTATGTCCTTTGCTGTCATCATGAGCACTAGATGAATGATGGTTGTGGTGACCATGCTTGGAGCTTAAGGCCTTCTCACCAGCTGTTCGCAAACACAAAATATGACTATTGAGATCTTTTAGTGTTATTCATGTCGGTGCATAGAAGCTCATTAGTTCGGGGAGTCTATTAATATTTCATATAGGGTCTTCATAGTGTGTCCTATTAATCACACAGGCTACTCGAATAATAAGAGGTAAATTAAATGTATTGGTGGAATTTTTACCTTGTTTTCTGTGTTAAGTGTAGCATTTCTCGTGAATACTCGTATATGTAACTTCGGCGTTTGGGTCATAGCCACGTCGTGATATTCATCCTGAAATTGGCAGTTGCAAATTACCCTGAAAAGCTGCAGTATTTTCAACATATGACCCGGCTAAACGTCCAAAGCCAAAGTTACACATTAGGCAGAGGCCACGAAAACCGAAGGACAAGAATGTTTCTCGTCTAGCTTTGTGGGCACTAATGATCTGTTATTATTCTGAAAGTCTCTTAATGCCGAGGAGAAAATACTAAAGATCTGTTATACAGATTATAGATTTGTAGGTTTTAGGACAAGCGTTCTCTTAGTTAGTTATTGGAGAGGGTGGGTTTCCCCATGCACTTAGACCTGTATTGGTCCATTGTGCTTTTCTCTATGATTTCTACCAGTCTCTATATCCTACCGGTACTGGTGCTTACCATCAGTCCCGCCCAGCCAGCGAGACCGGCTCTACTAGCTGAGAGGTATCTATAATGCTTCCCCCATCTACCAGAGGTATTAGAGACTGCTGTTGGGCGGGAAACGTCCGTTAATTTGGCTCAGTGACCTCCTTTGGAGATATGAGGTTCTTTTACGTGACGTAAAGCTACGACACGGGACCCACGGCTTAAGGTCCCTCCCGGAGGACTTGTTCCCTGAATTTTTCCGCCCTTAAAAATTCGACGACCTCCGCCGGGTATTTGAACCCGCGTACTACGAGTCATGAGGTGGGAACGTTACCTCTAGACTACGGAGGCCGCTAAGCGTTCTCTTAGGAAAACTACATATGAAAACCTGCATTCATTTGGATTGTGTTCTACAGACTTAAGCAGTAAAATTGTGGGCTAGCAGTCATAAATGAGTTTCTAAAATGCGTAGAATTTGGCCCAGAACTTTTATTCATCTTTCACAAAGTTATCTGCTCTGCTTGGACCCAGAATTAATTATTAAATCCCCATGCGTACTAGTTTCTTGCGTGTCTTACTACAAGTCTCTGAAGATCGAGGGGATTTTCCCCCGAAATATCGGTTGACTTTCACCAGACTACACGTCATTATATCCTAGAAGACAGAAACCTTCCCCTTACTGTGAATTTCTCTCTAATTAGAGTTGATCTGTACAGAATACGTACCAGTAGCTGCATATTTCTGGTCTATGTCTGCTACAGGAACGTATATATGTGGGGATACTAGCCCGGAGCGCTGGCCATCTGCTACTAGCGCGGCCTGCACAGCCGGCCTTACGCCTGTAGATGCAGGAATCCGATCTTCTGAGCGTGGTGCAGCGAGGACCACAGATTGGCCGCGAACACCGGCTGCGTATAGTTGAGGCAGAAAGCTGATACCTGCCGATTCTGAAGTTTTTTGTTTTGGAAAAAGTGCTATTGGATATTGAACATTTGAAGTGGCCTGCAGTTGCACCTGTGCTAGTGGTGTTGGCAATAATTCGAAGGGCGGTTTAACGCCTGCCGCAACCGGAAGTCGTTGTTGTGCGTGTGGTGTTGATGCTACCAAAGGGAGTTTATCCACGCCGGTAGTTTGCGGCAAGCTGGGCGGTCTTACAGGGTAAACCATGATGGCCAGCCCGAAGGACAGGAGTGGCTGCGAACAGAAATTTGAAATCCGCTCTCTGATATTTTCAGTTCTGTTATAATGCTTCAATCATTTATCCATTTACGTTCTTGCTCAACAGTACGACGTCCAGCTACAATGTAAACATGAGCAGAGGAAAGAAAGAAAAACATATTCACACAAATAAAAGACAAAACAAAGCAAATTACGATATAGGGATCAGTGGAGGGCTCTTGTGAACACGGCAATGAACCTTCGGGTTCCATAAAATACCGGGAAATTCTTGAGTAATTGCAGAATTGGCGGCTCCTCCAGCAGGGCTCAGCTCCATGAGGAAGTAAGTAAGTAAGTAAGTAAGGAAATAAGTAAGTAAAGCATTAGCAAACAACATTAATCGCTGAAGTAAATCTAGCAGAAAGAAAATTATTTCTTGAAGAACAGGGTCTGCGCATAAAAAGTCTGCTGTGTAACAAGCACAGAACTCGAAGACCAGCAGGATTGAAAAACAGAAATACTGGGTGTAGAACCAAGGTGAACTTGAATAAAGAGAAATGCATTAACATAATGCCTCCTTTTACGTCAAATGTACGATTTAAATTCTCTAAAGCAGAGTTTTTCAACCTTTTCAACTCAGGCACACCGAAAAGGAAGCTAAAATTGTTAAGGCACACTATTTTTAAGGAGAGATTTCAATATTAAAGACCGAGTAATAGGATTGTGTTTAAAAGTAAAATAGCTCAAATTTTAATTATTGTGATATCATTAAAAATAGTGTTGATCGTGGATTTCGACGAGTTTTTATTCCTCAATTTTTCTCGTTTCTTATCGACTTTCCCCCAAACTCCCGCGACACACCAGAGGGCCCCTCGTGTCACGCCTCGCACAGGTTGAAAATCACTTCTCTAAAGCAGTGTTCCGCAACCGGTGTGCCGTCACAAGGTGAAAGGTGTGACGCGAACTTTTACCTATTGTAAGAAATTAATTGTCAATTTTTATTCGTTTTATTTTACCCCAGTTACCATGTTTCATATGCTTGTATTTTATTCTCAGCCACTGCACTGATTAAATAAGATGATGCTTGTTTATTCTTTATTACATGCTGTGATTTTTTATGTATAGTAATGTTGTATTCTAAGAAATTAAACGTAAATTATTTACTCACAGTTGTTGTTATATCATAGTTTTCATTATTGACTAATTTTTATTTTTCTCGCATCTACGCAGCTTCTTTGATATGCTTGCAGCATGTTCTGTATACGTGCTTTTCCCTAAAACTGCAGGGATTAGCATGTTTTTCCCTGTCTTTTATAACGCTCTTTCGGTATTTGCCCTGTTTGTTAGAAGTTAGAGCTTCTTCAACTTTATGACTTTCTTCCTGTAACGATGCACCCACCGATTGTTGGACTTCATTTAAAATTATAAATATTTCAAAAATAAGTCGGTATAGTGTCACTTCTTCCGTTTGAAGAGTAGAGATCCCGCGTTTTACAATTGTTTCAGTTCTATCACAGCTGTGCTCTGAAGTAGTTCGCAAATTTTGGTTGCTAGTTAGAGAATTAGAGATGGGTCGTTTGAGATGTCCTCGACTGTATGGCAACTTGCTGACAGCAATAAAGTGGTGATGGACACAATTAAAGAACATTTAGAAATGCTGCAGCAGGAATTCAATAAGTATTTTGGAGAGAGTGTACAAGATTTCGACTGGTTTCGTGATCCAGTTGGTGTGAATTCAGAACATCTTCCGATTAATATACAAGAGGAACTCGCAGATTTAAAAGCAGACAGAACATTGAAACTAAAACTTTTCGAAATGCCTTTGGATATGTTTTGGTTGGCAATAAGGAATGGATACCCGGCTATCTCCGAGATGGCAGTGAATGTGTTATTGCCATTTTCAACTACATATTTGTGTGAACTGGGCTTCTCGACGTTAACAAGACATCAAAGAGGGAAGAAATGAGACTTCCGTTGTCAACGATTCCACCACGGATCAGTCGCCTGTGTGCAGCTACGCAGGGGCAAGTATCACATTGAAGTTATGAGTAGAATTGGTGTATTTACTTTAATAGTAATAGAAGTGTATTTTCCACACTCTACAGTGAATTAAAGTTCATTAATTGCTAATAAATGCACCAGTCGATTTCTGTTTAATGATAATAAAATAACAATATAATAACATTATAGTAATAAGTTGAACACGTTACGTATTTATATTAATTGTCTGATATCATACGTTTTCGAGGGGAATAACATTTTGGTGTGCCGTGTTGAGTCATGGATACTTCATGGTGTGCCGCGAGTAGTAAAAGGTTGCGGAACACTGTTCTAAAGCATAAGCATAACAACAACGGACACAGGGGAAGGAACGATTCAAGTAAAGGGTCAGAAGCTTTTGCTGGATGCTTTCTAATTTGTTAGCATCGGTAGACTTAACAGAAATCCAAACAGCACAGATGTATTGAAGCCAATATCTAACTAGACTAAAATATACCAGAACAGTCGAGGGATGAGAAATACAAGTAAACTAAACCCAGCAACCGTGCACAGTGAGAGAATATACTTGTATGGTTACCATGAATATGGAATTTAAGGTTAGAAGCCAGAAATACTCTGTGGCATGGGTTGTAGAGGCGTGACAAAGTTTATACTCAGACTGCAGCCACCTGCTCTCGCTGGTTCCTCTCTCGCGGAATTTTGTACCCTGAAGATGGAGGCGATACGTTCCTCCGAAACGTCGGGTCACACAAGATCTACACGGCGCCACATCCAAGAAGACGACATTCTTCATAGTCACCGCTGTGAAAACCTCAAATCTTGCATTTACGTGTGTATTGTAGGACTATTTTTTCTTTGGATGAACATAATTTTGGTTTTACTAATGTTGAGTTTCATAGAATCAACAGTCCACAGACCTCGTACAGAATTAATGTTGGAGTACACTGTGT